TGGTTAATATTTGTTAGTTAACAACTTGATATTTTCAAACATTATTTAAGGAAAAAACTAAAATTTTGATAGCATAATAATATTAATGATAACAACAACCACACCCAAATCAATGATTTGTTTTCCTCTCTCTCTTACTCTTCTAAAGTATTTTGTCAAGAAATTTAAAGACATTATTATTATTATTATAGAAAAAATATTTTGTAATTTAAATTACACTATATTATAAGATATAAACTATTGAGTGATAAAAGGCTTCTAATAATGAGTAAAGGTTGATCTATTGCTAGTATTTTGTAATTTAAATTAATATAAGATGACAAAACACCAAACTATTATTATTTTTATTTTTAAAAATTCCATTTTTAAACCATACTATTATGTTGATTTTTTTTTAGTAATAGCAATATAGCATTCGTCTTTCCCAAATCGATTTTCATCTATATTAAAATTTCAAATCTAATTAAAATTTATATTCTTGAGAGGCAAACCTTATCTACGATGAAGTAAGAAGATTATAAACAAGAGATAAAGTATAAAAAAGTAAAATAGAATATAATTAAACCTTTTCATTTTATATTTTAAATTACATTAAATTATAAAATAAAATTTTTTAAATAATGAACAATTTTTAATATAAAAAGACAAGCCTCATCTTTTATATGAAAAAAACGTGCCACCTCTAATAGTTTTAGTTACTATTTTGGTTACGTAATTTTTTTTTTTGGTTGTATAATAGAAGTAACTATCTTACATTTTTTAATTTATCTCACCGGTATGTTATGTAACTTAAATTTTGAATCTTTTACTTTTAACTGAAAAAATAATCACTAAATTATTTAAATTATTGATATTTTAATTACGTAATTTATGTTGTGTAACTCATTTATTTTTTCATATAGTTAACCTTTCAACTCTATCGATTTGGATATCTTGAATGATATGGATGTCATCAGCAGTAGGTGGAGGATCATTATTACTTTGTGGTTTGAAAACCATAAACAAATCACATTTGTTTACAATAAGTGACTTTCACCACCACAATGGGGTTTACGCTTCAATTTTCCGATTTTGTTTGATCAGCAGATACGTATGCCTTTGGACTCAATTGTTCAAAGTAAAAATTATTAAACGTGGGCCTAAAATTGCTTTCCACCCTCATCCTCCTCCTCATCAATCATCATCATCATCGTCATCACCATTCTGTAAAAAGATATTGCCTTCTTAAAATCCGTCAAATTGGAAGGCATTTACATGTTAATATGTTTGGTTTGCTCTACAAAGTTTAGAAATAATACATCAATCCTAGTGTTTTTTTTTTTTTTTTT